GAGCTGGACCCCCACCCTCCAGAGCTGCTGCCACCCTTGGACACGGAGCCTCCACCACCTGAGCTTCTTCCTTCTCCATATCCTGAGCCTTTTACACCTCCCGAGATGGACCCACCTCCACCAGAGTGGTATCCACCCCCTCCACAGCTTCCACCTTTTCCCCCTCCAGAGACTGGCCCTTTCATTCTGCTCCCACTGGAACTCATTCTCCCCTGCACACTTTTTATGCCTCCAAAGACTCCAGAAGCTCTGGCATTGTAATCAATGACACCTGGAAGAAACAGAAATTACATTCAATTTACTCTTTTTACCCAAAAAATTTAGAGCAGTGCTGATTTAAGCATCATCCTTCCTACCCCAGTGGTCTTGGACTTATCTTTGAAGGGGCCAATAAGAATCTCCGTTAGTAGACAACAACCTATGGAATATTTTATCATTTTTCTGGGTTGGGTTTTTTTTGGGTTTTTTTGGGTTTTTTTACATAATTTATGTCTTATTTCACCCATGAACACCCAGTGCAGCCTATCCTTTACAAAGGCCAAGACTGTTTCTCTCTCCTTCAGCTTCCTCAACTTTTCCACAAATTTTAGGATTGTTTTTTATTTCCTTCCCTTCTGCCCTGCATCAAAGAGACCTGTGGGTTAAATGTGGTGTTTCCCATTTCCTCTAAATTTATTAGGAATTAGCCAATAATTCTAAAGCCAGTTGTTATATTAATGTGTGTTTACTAACCCCCCCTTTGCATCCTTTCCTGAATTAAGATGGGAACTGAGATAGTTTGTTCCAGTCGTGTCAAGACCACAAAGTAGGAGCAGTTTTCTTTAAAAAGCCCTGAGAAAATCCTTGTGATACTCACAGATCGTGGCTGGTGATCCTTCCTGGATCCTGTGGAGGGAAAGTAACATTGAAGTAAGGCAACCAATAAAATCAGAATTAAAATTCAGGTTAGGCTTTATCCATGATCTGCAGAAAGGTGACTCCTCCCAGGCCCAGTGCATCCCAGAGATCCCAGTGACAGTTCCATGGACATGCTGCGTTGTCTGGGTGTTTCACCCAAGATGGATTTTGCCCCCACCTGTTCTCCTCCTCTTCGAGGAGTGATCGATACATGGCTATCTCAATGTCCAGGCCCAGCTTCAGATTCAGGAGCTCCTGGTAATCATGCACAAGCTGAGAAAGGTCATCCTTGGCCTGTTGGAGGGCATTTTCAAGCTCCTCTAGCTTTTCCTGGCCATCCTTGACAGCTGAGCTCCCACGTTGCTCAGCATCTTTAATAGAGTCCTGAAGGCTGGAATTCTGCAGAGGGAACAAAGGGAATGTGACCATGTCCCATCTGTGGGGAGAATTTTATAATAGAATCACGGAATATCCATAGTCAGGAGGGAACCACAGGAATTATTGAGTCCAGCACCTATCCCAGCACAGGAAAACCCCCAAATCCCATAATTTTCACACCCTCCTGGCATTCCTTGGAAATCAAAAGGCTTTCCTCAGTGACAGAACAGCAAAAATACATTTGACTGGGTAAACTAACACAATTAACCCCAATATAGATCCCAAAAAATCGAAATCTGCTTCAATTGGAAGAGAAAACTCCATCCCTAAGTTTGCCTCCAAATGACTGGCTGCTACATACAGACTTGAGGTCTCATGGAAGTGGGGCTTAATCCATTTAATTCTGCTGGAAAGTATCAGCTTTACCCTTTTCCTTGTGATTTCAATTTCTGGTTGGAGTCTTTGGATCTGCCTGGCAAGTTCCTGGATTTCCTGGTGACTGTTCCTCAGCTGCTCTCGTTGACTCACCCACATGTTCTGCAGGTCTTGGTACTGATGGGAAGAGGACACAACAAATAAAAGTTTTTGGTTTCTTTTCCAATGAGGAGATTTGTGTTCCTGTTTCCCTGGTGTCCACTCACCCTGCCCCGGTACATGGCATCCACTTCAGCTGTGCTCCTGTTGGCCATCCCCTCGTATTCCCGCCTGACCTCCTCGATGATTCCATCCATGTTCAGGTCCCTTTGGTTGTCCATGGACAGAATAACATCAACGCTCCCAACAACTGTTTGCAGCTGGGACAGCTCCTGCAGGGAAAATCAGATTAAGGATTTTAACAGTCCTTGTGGTCACTCCAGGTCTTTATAAGGAAAAATTGGGACATTGTGGCCAATTTCCCACTGGAATTTCTTCAACTGCAGCCCCCAGGTACCACTTGTAATTTACAAGGTCTTCTAGCCTTCGTGACACAAGTTAGACCAGACTCCTTTTCAATCACAAGAGGCCAAGGATAATTCATTCTTCAAGCCAAAAAATCCCACCCAAGCAAAATTTCTGGGAATCTCCAGAAGGCATGTCCTTCAAGACCTGAGGGTAAGATTTGAATCACTCACAGCTTCATATAAACACCGAAGGAACTCCAACTCCTGCCTCAGGATATCCACTCGGACCTCAAACTCCATTTTTCCCATGTAGGCACTATCCAGTTCCTGTTAAAAAAAACCCCAAAATATTGTAATAATTGCGTTTTGTTGACCCAAATGCTCTACTGAAATGCAATTCTTGGGATATTTCCATAAAGCCTGCATTTCTGGGATCAAATAATGGCCTAGAGAGCTCAGATTTCATTTGAAAAGCAAGAGGAACAAAGGGAAAGCATTTAAGATTGAAAAATTAGCTGGAAAGTGAGTACCATGGCTGCAGCAGTAAATCTGTTCGTGGGGAATATGAGAAATGGGAAAATACAATTTTTATTCATACTTCTAGTAAAAAGTTGCCCAAATTTTCTCTTCACAGATAGCTTTATTTTTCCAAGCCATCTACAGACATTATTTAACTTAATAACAATATTACACCAGGATTGGGATTGAGAGAATAGGGAAAACCCAGCACTTTTTAGATATTTGTCCTACAAAGGACCAATTCATTCTCTAGATTAAATACTCACTCCTCAGTCTTGTTCTGGTTTTCAGTTACTTTGGTTAAAATTAAAAAAAGCTCAGGAAAAACTTCAGCTTTTAAGAACCTTGGCAACCACCCAGGTATTGTTTTATTTCCAAGGCTTTGCTTTGCTCAGGATCTCAGGTTAATTCACCTTTTTAAGCTCCACAAATTCCTCCTCCTTGGATGTGCGTTTGTTGATCTCATCCTCGAATCTGGGGGACAGAAGGAGGTAGATTATTATCTATTATCTATTATCTATTATCTATTATCTATTATCTATTATCTATTATCTATTATTAATTAATCTATTTAATTTATCTATCCATTACCTTTAATTATTGATCTTAATTGTTAAGTCAGGTGGACCAGTAAACAACAGAATCCTCATTTTACCTTAATTGCTATTTCTGGCAAGTGCAAACCCTTTACAAAAAGAGGCACTAAAACAGCCCAAAAAATGGGGTCAATACAGATAAATTCTACATTTAGTAATTCTGAACTAAACTTTCCATTTTTCACAGCTGTGGGTGGACATAAATTATCTGAGCCAGAACAGGTAACAACTCTTCCCAACTTCACCCCAAGCTCAGCTCTGTCCCTTCCCACCAGGGCCCCGCAAGTGGAATCTTGGGTCACTCACTGCTAGAGGGGAGAAACAAAAGGAGGAGTCCGGCAAGGAAAGAAGATGGGAGAGATAATCTCAAACTTTGATTTTGCTCTAATTTTTGGGAGTTCAACCCTTACCAAACTCTTCCAGCATCAAAGTCAAGCCCCATAATGCACCTGCAGCAGAGCAGGGCTAAGAAACTCCAAACTCCTGCAGATGCAAAGCTGAGATTTGCCATCCAAGGGCACAATGCGCATCACCTAGGAAAATCCCAGCACCTGTCTTCCCAGATTTGTGTCTATTCACCTGTTTTTATAATCCTCAACAAGCTGGAGCATGTTGTAGGCTTCGGGATCCAGCTGCTCCTTCTGGCTCTGGAGGGTCTCAAGCTGCCGCTGCAGGTTGGTGATGTAGGACTGGAAGAAGCTGTTGATGTTCCTGCTCTCCTCAGGGCCAGAGCTTTGCTGCTGCAGAAGTTCCCACTTGGCCAAGAGTGCCTGATTCTGCCGTTCCAGACATTGAACCTGGAAGGTGAAGCAGATGCAGAGGGATTGAAGGTATCCAGTTGGCCTCTCTGCCACAGAGACAGGCTGAGAGAGCTGGGGGTTCTCACCTGGAGAGGAGAAGGGAAAGGAGACCCTGGAGTCCCTTATGGTGCCTAAAGGGGCACCAGGAGAGCTGGAGAGGGGCAGGGGCAAGAGTCTGGAGAGAAAAGACAAGAGGGAATGGCTTCCCACTTCCAGAGGTCAGGGATAGATGCAATATTAGGTAGAAATTCCTCTTAGAGAGGGTGGTAAGGCCCTGGAATTGATTTCCCACGGGATGCTGAGTTCCTGGAAGTGTCCAAGGCCAGGTGGGACAGGGCTTGGAGCAGACTGGGATAGTGGAAGGTGTTCCTGCCCATGACAGGAACTGGATGAGCTTTAAGGTCCCTCCCAATCCAAATCACTCCACAATTTCTGTAATATTAACCAGGTGATAACCTGGACACCCAAAAGTTTAGGAAGGAAAGAAGAGTCACAGACATGCTAATTTTTCAGGACTATGGAATCTTAAACCTCCTCAGTGTAACCAACACCCCCTGCCCAGTGAAATATGAAATGCTGAAGTCCCCACATGTAAAAGAGAGAAGCAGAGACAGACACCCCCCAGATACTCCAGATACCACCGGGGTGGAAGAGCCTTTGAGGCTGGTTTGAGTAGATGCAGAAGAGAAGACAAAACTGGAGAGATGGAAAGTAATGAAAAAGTTGAAGATGGACAATATAGTAGAGGGCAGGGTTTCCAAACCAAGAAGTGATTTGTTTAATAATTCAGAGAAATTGAATTCACTTGCAATTTCAGCTAAGTACAAACCCCTGCAAGAAGAGGCATTAAAACAGCCTGTTCCTGCAAGGTTTGGCTTTGCTTGAGAAAAAAATACTAACTCATCAAGATGTCCAAGTCCCTCATCCATTTTTACTGCTGGCATCAACAACCTCCAGGCACTGGAATATAGGAATATATATTCCCAGAAACCCCTTTCCTCAAAAGAGAAGTGATTCTATGTGCCAGTGACATCTCAGCAGTTTACTGTCCTGCCACAAAAGGCAACTCTGAGATCTTTATCGCAAGGCAAAAACTGATTTACCCAGCAGTGTTTACAGGGATCCATTGTGAGCTTCACAGCAGCCTGTGGGAATTCAGCCAATGCTGTGATTTTGACATGAAGTTGTCCCCATGACTAACACCTACCTTATACCTCCCCCTTCCAGCACAGAGAAAACAGCACAGAGACCAGGACTCACCTTCTCAATGAATGATGCAAATTTGTTGTTGAGAGCTTTGATCTGCTCCTTCTCATCTGAGCGCGCTCGCTGGAACTCAGGGTCCACCTGGAGCTGTATTGGCCTCAGCAGGTTGGTGTTGACATGGACCTCCTCAATGCCTCGGAGAACTCCAGCCTGTCCCAGTCCCAGTCCCTGTCCAGCCCCTTGTTCCCCTGTGCCAAGGCCTCCTCTGAGTATCTCCCTGCCTGAACTTTCTCTGTAGGTGCTACCAAGCCCTGTTTTACCACTCTGAAAACCTCCCACGAAATATCCTCTTCCACCAAAGCCTCTCTCAGGTTGTCTCCAGCCACCAAAGCCAAGGCCTCTCCCATATCTTACTCCTTCTCCTCTGTAGCCTCCACCAGTATAGACATTCCTGAACCCTCCAAGGTTGTGGAGGCTCCTGCTACCATACCCATGACCAAACCCTCCAAATCTCCCGTCTCCACCACCCAAGGTCCCACAGTGAGCAGAAGAAGAACTGAAACTCCCATCCCCATATCCGGAGAAATATCGTCTCATGGCAGCACTTCCAGGTGGGAGAGCCCGTGGAGGAGGTGATGAAACAGGAGGAGAAATGAGAATGAAGGATCCTCAGCTACTCCAGAGGAGTATGGAAGTTCTCCTTTATACATTCTGGAGGAGCTCATCTCCATTCCGTAGTAATTAGCAGGTTTCTAATGTTGTTATTGGGTTTGGTTCATCAGGCAGCAATTAATGGCTGCCCAGAGAGGTCAGATAAACACCAACACCGGTGGGGCAGTTGTGAAATTCCCCAAATCCTGCCTGACTCATGAGCTTTGCTGACGGATCTCCTTATCTCATTAACCTCCATCCATAATTACAGTTACCCCTGCTCATCCCCACAGCTCATTCTCCCCCATATTTCCCCACTTCTTTTGGTATTTAAAGGGGCACAGGACCTTGATGGTCCTTGGGAGGTCTGACCTCCCTTCACTGCATCACCAGGAGCACCTGCTGCACCCTTTGTTTCCCATTCCTGTTCTTCTCTCATTCCCAGAATATCCCAGGAGCAACTTTTGCTTCTCACAGGGAGGATCTATCCCTCTCCCCATCTCTGTGCCAGACTCCACCTTTCCAGCATTCAGTGGCTATGGACATATGGAAAAGCATTTGGGAGCCAAGTCCCGCTGCTGGCAGTACCACTTGGAGGCTCCAGCCTGGATCAATTTCTTGAAAAGTCATTGAGATGTGGTTCCTCCAAAACCACCTCTGGAACCACATCCCCATGGAAATAACCTCCTCTTTGACCCTTACATGACTTTAGGAGGAGCTGGACTTCACCTGGCAGGATTCTTTTCCTCCCAAAGGAGCTGGATGAAGCCAGGCTGAGAACCATCACATAGAGGTTCTGTGGTCATCGCCGTGCAATCCTGGCTCCATTTGTAAAGTGCCTCATAAATTCCCTAAATTAGGGGTTTGTAGCTGGAGGTTATTAAAGCAGCTGGAATATCTCAAGGTGGACAAGACTTTGGATGCTCAATGAGACCTTTCTCACCTGGAAACAGTGTTTTCCAGGAAAACAGCTGAGAAATCCACTTTTCCCTACTAAACTCCCCTACCTCACCTTGCACCAGGAAAAGCCAAACTGGTATCTCAGATCTTCCTTCTGTGCTAATTTTGTAATTAAATTATCTACGTTTCCTGAGAAATTCAACCAGATTTCCATCTGATTTCCCCCTTTTTATAAACCTGTATGAAAATCTGACTTGGACTGATAATTCTGTCTCTGCAGGAATTAATTACAGTGAACATCAAAAAAATTGTGCAATTACCAGTATTTTAAAAGCGGGGGAGAGGGGAGGGAATTCCTGAAGGAGACTGGAAAGGTTGGAGACAGGTGGGGTCTGACTCTTCTCCTGGGTTATGAGTGACAGAATAAGAGAAAATGGCCTCAAATTGTGCCAGTTTTAGGTTGGAAACTGGGGGAAATTCCTTCCTGGAAAGGGTTGTCCAGCCCTGGCACAGCTGCCCAGGGCAGGGATGGAGTCTTCATCCTTGGAAGTGTCCAAGAAATGTGTGGATGTGGCACTTGGGGTCATGGTCCATGGTGGTCTTGGCAGTGCCAAGGAAATCATTGGACTTGATGATTCCAACCTGAATGCTTCTGTGATTCAGAAGGGCTGGGGCTGGTTCCAGTGTGATTCCCCTCTCCACCCCTCCTCTTCCTACTTTGCAAGTGCCTTATTCCGGAGCTGCACTGGGCAACACTCCAGGTAATCCCCATGGATCATGGAAGGAAGTGTTGTGACCCCAGAGAGTGAGCAGCCACAGCTCCCTGTGGTCAGTGTCCATCCCAAAATCCTGCCCTGTGCAGGAGCTGAAGTGAACCAGGCATGAATTCTGAGCTTTTTGTAGCAGCTGGAGCCCAGAGCTCAAGCAAGGAGAGCAGCCATCCCGCCCCACGTGCAGTAATCCAGAGTGTAGGCAGCTGTTGTGATCAGAGCTGACACCGGATCAGCCTTGGCAGCACATCCCAACCACACCTGGACCTGTCAAGCTGGCTCCAGAAACAGGGATGCATCCCAAGAGATGTCCATGCATCCTGTGGACAAAGGGGGAGCTTCCTGTCATTCCTTCTTCTTTCTGACATAGCTGGGACAAAGGGATCACAGGTTCATCCATCATCCTTCCCAGGGAGATGGATTTTCACGGGATCAGGGTGTTACAACCACAGGGTCAACCTGGCTCTTTGTCTTGGGATTTTAAGGATAAGTTTAAATTGCCCTCCAAAACTTGATCCATCCTGGGCCACGTGTGCAGCTGTAGGAGCAGGGACTGAGGGACCCTGTGTTGTCCTGCCCATCCAAAGCAGGTGGAAAAGGTGGGGAGGTTCCTCCCATTGGGAAAAGCCTCTGAGACATGACATGAGTGTGACTTTTTGTGGACCATGAGGGAACCAGAAGAGCACCAGGATGGACATTGTTGGAAACATCCAGAAATTTAGAGACAGACCCAAACTGGAGCTTTTTGAGCATAACTGGGGCAGGAACCTGCCAAACTCCATCATCCTCATCCACCTCTGTCTACCTTCAACTCAAACCCTAAATGGGACTAACAAATCCCAGTTCTCAGGCTGATGCTCAAGGAAATGCCTCAACATTCCCACAGGATCATCTAAATCAGCTCAAAATAAGGTCATTGAATGGTCTAGGTTGGGAGGGACCTTAAAGCTCATCCAGTTCCTGTCATGGGCAGGAACACCTTCCACTATCCCAGTCTGCTCCAAGCCCTGTCCCGCCTGGCCTTGGACACTTCCAGGAACTCAGCATCCCGTGGGAAATCAATTCCAGGGCCTTACCATCCTCTCTAAGAGGAATTTCTACCCAATATTGCATCTATCCCTGACCTCTGGAAGTGGGAAGCCATTCCCTCTTGTCTTTTCTCTCCAGACTCTTGCCCCAGTCCCTCTCCAGCCCTCCGGGAGCCCTTTAGGCACTGGAAGAGACTCCAGGGTCTCCTTCCCACCAGACCAGGTCACTCCAAGCCCCATCCAAAGTGTTCTTGAGCACCTCCAGAGATGAGGCAGCCATAAACTCTTTAGAAAATAGAAATAAAAAGAACTAAAATAAAAGTGGAGAAAAAAAGAACTACAGAAAACACAAAACCTAAAATTATTAAAATCATGAGGGTGTCTCAGAAAACCAGATCCTAAATATAAATTAAGGATCTTTGCAAGCTCCACTGGCAGAACAGAGTGAATAAACAAGGTTATCCATGCATTTCTGATGATTTAAGAAATACTGCCAGAGCTGTACAGTAGCACATGAAGAAATACAGTATTTAAATTTAATAACTTCCCCAGTGAAGGAGATAAATGAGCACAAGAGAGATCTAGATCTCCAGCTGCTGAAGTTCTTGCATAATTAGGGCCCTCAGTCACTTGGAACTGGGATGACACAGACACACTTATAAAAATGCCTGTAGCCCGCAGACTTTCCTTTTCTCCCCCTCTCCTTCCCTGGAATAACCACAACCTCTGCCTGTGGTCAGTGAAGGCAGCAAGGACTTGGAGAAGAAAAAGGAAAGGAGAGAAATGTCAAAAACCTTTTGCTTTTTGCAGAAAAGAGGTGAAACTTTGGTACTCTTCCAAAGTTTATCTTATTTTAAGCCTGAGGTTTCCCAGTGCAAGAATATATATATTATCCTAATGATACAGATAGTCCAAAGTGGATCTCACCTTCATCATTTGGGGAACAGGGAGACCAGATGGAGTTTCCCTCACACAGACCTAGGGCTGGATGAGACTGGAAGTTGCTATTAAACCACAGGAAAAAATCCCTCTATCAGGAGCTTTTTAGAATTCCATGAATTCTCAACACTTTGTGTTAAATAGTGAAGTTTTGTGGTGAGAAAACTGTAACTGGAGGGTGTCTGGGAATGCTCTAAATGGGAGGGATTTGTCCTATGCAGACAGGCAGAGCTCAGGTGGTTAGGAATTATTTTGGTGGGGGATATCTTCTTTTGCCGTTGTTGAACAGCAGTGTTTTATGGAAGCACTCAGTTGGAATTGGCAGGATCCCGGGAAGGGAGGGAAGGGAAGAAGCAGTGCTGGATGCTCCAGACAGGGCAGGTAAGGAGGAACAGGTCCCATCACTGGGCTACTCCATCAGGAGCTGCTCCAAAACACGAATGGAAGGAAGCGGGGGATCACGGAATTCCAGAGCAGGAGGAATGACTCTGCTACCACAAAGGAATTTTATTTGGAGGCAAAGGAGGACACAAGTAGATGAAGTGGAGACTGGGATCTCTGGGGCAGCACGGAATAACCTGGTAGAGGTTGGAATCAAGTCCAAGATCCAATGAGAGCGAGGGAAGCAAAGGAGATCAGTGTGGGAAGGGCTGAAAAGCCCTCAAAGAGCAGGAAGAGCTTCCCCAGAGCCAGAAACATCCGTGCAGGGAATGGCCAAAATCTTTCCCTGTGCTCCACAAAGGCAGGAAAGGAAATGTCAAACACATGGTAATTTTTGCAGAAAAAAAAGATGAAATGCCCTTGTGATAATTTCAGACTGGAATTTTGACTTTGAGAAGGCTAGAGGGAAATTCCAGGGTGGATTCCACACAGAGTGGGGAGGGAGGTCACCAGCTCCAGGGTCAGACAGTTCCGGTGTCGTGTCCCTTAGGGAGGGGATCTCTGGTGAGGCTCATTTAGGGAACCAACCCAAAATCTGACTAATTTGTGAACCCGTTAACAAGGAACTGATGGCTCTTTTAATCTCTTTTAATAAATGGTTTGTGATTTGGGGTTGACAGGAAGGTAAACAAGACAATAAAGTCCTCAGTAGCACCCTTGATATTAAATCATCCATTCAGAAAAATAACAACATAATTATGACATCAGTTAATCTCCTCTTACCCTGACAATAATGTGAAAGTTTATTAATTAAATTGAATAGGATTTGTGGATACACTGAAGTAATTTTTTCTATTGCTGTTATTATTAACAATGGTGGTGAATGGATGAAGGACAAGCTCATTAAATTTTTTGCTTAATTGGCTAA